ATATTTTGGTTCGTTTATTTTGAAATCCAATGATGGGTGAAACTGTATAAAATGTTTGACGAAATCGTTCTGCTCTGATGACTTGAAGTTGCAATAAAAACATTTGAAACGTGGCCCTAGAATGAAACAGTATATATAATTAATAGGAATACTTTACTTGGTCTTTCGTGTACGTTTATTTGAAGAACCTCAATATTTAATGGAATGTAATGAAGCTTTCCTCGTGATCGAAGCGGGTACTCGTGAAATCTGCTCCTGATTTCAGCGGGACCTCCTCATGTTTTCAGCGGGGCTTCCTCATAATTTCAGCGGGGCCACTGGAACACCTCCAATGGTGTATTTCACCCCCCACAGGAGATGTTATTGTAAACTAACTTATCAATACATACAATGTTGATCCAATATTCATTATGAGGAATGCATATCGTAGTTCTTGTCTCAATTTTAACGACAAAAGTAATTTTGTTACAGTAAATTATGTAAACGTGCATATTTGCGCCAGTTTCTTCCATGCCGATAAACATATTTATCGTTCATGTCATTGTTTGTGAAGATATACCTGTTCTGAAAGTATACCTCAAGTTTCAAAGAACAGTAATGCGTATTCTTACCATTTTTGTCCATATTTCAAGGTGACACAAATAAAAAGGACTTTGCTCGTGATTTCAGCGGGAACTTGCTCGCGATTTCTAAATCATGGCGGGGCTTTAGATACTACCCGTGAATATATAAACAAGTATTTCATTATGTTTACTGTACTGTACTATTTTACTGTACATACTTTACACGACACAGTCATGTTGACATATCCATGCTCATTTCTATAATACGCAATTATGCAACAATGAATACACAGGGTATTAAGCACTCACCCTTGTAGAATATATCATGCCATCTATGGAACATATATAACTATCTATAAACATCATTGCATAAAATAGGGTACATCTAACTGTCGCTCTAAGTGACATCTTTTCCTACACTTTACACTAAGGTCATGACCTATGAGGTAAAAATGACAAATGGATTATCAGATAATGCTTATCTCATTTAGATCAATTTTTTCTTTTTGGAGATCAATCGTGTGACATATAATGCTCAATGTTTTCGTGCATTAAATTTATTAAAAAATTGCTACTTTTAGGTCGAAAATTCGGCCTGAAAAAGTTATTGTTTTCGGATTATCCTAATCCCAAAGTAATTAAGTTTTCCTTTTTAGAGGTAAATCATTCCTTACAATAAATTGTAATTTTGCCATAAAAGCTGAAATAAAATGCTGCATTTTTGGTGAAAATTACGTCAGAATTAGGGGAAATTGGTGAAGATGGGTGGATTAGGGACAGCTTAAGAGATAATCCAATCAACATGATTATCATCCTACTGTCATTTATTGAAGATAAGACATGGATCTAACAGAACCATTTGTTTTTGTGGTTAAATTATTCTTTGACCTAAAGATATAGCCCTTAAAAAAATACTTGCCATATCTTACCTAGTTCTTTTCAGGGATAACTTATGAGTGCATACAGATGTGCACAAAGTTTTTTAACTCGATACGTACTTCCTGTCAGCCATTTTGAAGTCAAATGCTAAAATCCTTGTCTGCAAGCTTTAAAGATACATTATGCCATAGGTTTCTCCCCCAGACAACCAATGATGTCCTATTGTTATTGCTCATATAACATCTCACATACCATGGGTATATCTTGAGAATAACTTATGGGTATATTATTGCGGAAATATTTGAAATAATAAACAGAACGACCAAACTCCAGAATTAAACACAATTGATTCCTTGGCTAGCGAGGGGAATCCCCATTGAGTCACACAAGCGCCCACAAGCGCCTTGAACCAGGCAGCCAATCAGGTTCATGATAAACAAATTCAATGACCAATCAGATAACAGGAGGACTTTCCCAGTATATTCAAAATTCAGATTGAATTAATTTCTTCAAAAATAATTAGATCGGCTGGCACAATCGCAAAATTAACACTTTTTTTTATCATCTTTCATATTTATTGTAAGCACAAGTCATTTAGATACAATTACAAGGGGCAAAGCGCTGTAAGCATTAGATGTCCCCTTATATAATTAAACAATAAAGTACAATATTCATTTTAACCTGGATGTCACCTGTAAATGGTAGAATGCCTTGCAATGAAACAAAAGATAGGAGGGCTGCTGATATCCTGGGGGAGGGGTAGTATGTTGAAAAATGGAAACAGGTCATAGGCAGGAAAATATTTAGATTCTGGTTGTGTTTTCAATGAGATAATTCGCAACCAGTGAAAATAGATTATCCATTTCTAATTGGGTTAATGATGGATCCCCAAAAAGAAAAAAGTGAATTTTGTCTTGCTGAGTTCTGAAATGAGTTAATAAGTCCCCATATATCCCTAAAGTATCTGTTATTAATTTATTTCTTTGTTGTTCTTTCAGAGGGCATTTGAAAAAGAAGTGGGGAAAAGTTTCAGGGGAACCACATAAACAATTTGATAACTCAACTGAGCTCCAATTGTGGGCTTTGAGCTGGGCTTTTAAAATTAAATCTACCCTGGCTCTATTCAGATAAAGTTCTTGTTGACGAGTTAATTTTAAACAAATTGTTGAAACAACACCAGGGAACAAATTTAATTTAAGTGTTCTTTTAAAAGATGCAATAGTTCAATTACAGTCGAAGAATTTATAAGACCTGGGACATTAGTGACTGTGAGATCAATGCAAGTAGCAGATGTTGGTGTGATTCTTGTTGGTTCTTTTATTAACTGGTCAAAATCGTTATCAAAAAATATATCATTTAAAATTTTTCCATTTCTATCTTCATCCCCATTGAGAAACCACTGTTTACATTTAGCGTTGAAGTCACCATTCAAAATGATTCCATCTGCATTTCGTGATTTTGCCTGTTTTATGTTCATTGTCAAAAGTTTCATAAATTCATTTCTCTCATTTACTGACTGTGAGGGTGAGCGATAAAAAACTCCATACAAAAAGGTTTTATGTTTAATTCTCAGTTCGGCCCACAAGGAGTAATTTGTATTCAAGTCGGGTCTTTCATTACATAGAATGTTGTTGTTTATATAGATCAAAAGTCCTCGATTATTTTGATTGTGTAATGGATTATGAAATCCATTCAGCAAGAAATTATCTTTGATTGATATTAATTAACACTGAAAGGGGGGGGGGATTTGAGACTTCTTCTTTGGTAAGTAGATGGGTATAGATTTGGTGAAACTCAATATGCAAAAAAAGGTGGCCATTTTGGATTTTCCGTCCTAAAATTGTGTCTGTAAAGTCCTCATTGAAAGCCCATGGTCCTGCTAAATAAGGTGGCCTCATTGGATTTTTCTCTTAAAATCTTGTCTTTTCAACTGATTAGTGTTACATTCAGGATAAAAAATTTGCAGTATATAGGATCACCCATTGGTGGGGACATGTACATATTTGTGCTCTTGTTTAACATGTTCAATATGACATTGAAAACAAAATTCATTCTTATTCATTGTTACTTAAAGAGATCAGATTATCCAAAAGCACAATTAGAATAACCCCCTGGTATTTTCGTGTTATATGATGTAAAACAAGTATTTCTATCTACTTACCAATGTTGGAGCTTCAGCCACTTCCTTAACGGTATCAATTTGATGATTGTTCACAGTCATAATTACCACTTACTTCAGTAGAAATTCGAAATTAAATTAAAATAACCCGCTTCAATGTGCTCAGATCTGTGATTGGCTGCTTGAGATCTAGACATTTAGTTTTCAATAGTTTTACCTGTTTGAATAGCCTAGATGCAAGTAGAAATAATCTTGATTTAAAAGGGGGTGTCTTCGCTGGGTGTGTCAAACATACAGCAGCTATATCCAAACTAATTGGGGAGGCCAAGAAGGAGGTGGTATGGCTTGACCTCGCAAAAGCTTATCCAAGCGTGCCTTATCAACTTATCTAAACTGCCCTGAGTGGAACATTACCATGTACCACCTTAGGTAAAAGGACTTGTCAGCGACTAGATGGCCGGGGAGATTCCCCATTGACCCACATGTTTTAAAATCTGGAAAAGTGAACTATCTTTTTTTAGTGGGTAGAAGTTCTGCTCGAAAGCCGATTTTCAAAATGGCTGTTCATTAAAAAATGGCGACCATTTAAGTGCCGGTTTTACAGTAATTTAGGTGCAATAAGTAAAACTGTAATAGCAATATGTTTTAAAAAAATATGTTTTTTAGAAAATTATATAGGACATAATAAAGCTAGAAATGTAGATATTAAAGAAGCACATGGCAGCCATCTTGAAAAATGGCGGCCTTTACTCGTTATTTTACGATTTTTGCTGTAACTCGAAAAGTAGTGGAGCGATTTTGTTCATATTTGGTATGTGAATACTATAAACATGGAACAAGTCTCATGAGCCTTCATACACACAGGAGGATGATGCGAACAGGGACAATTTGTCTTACATTTTTAGAGCCTCGTGAGCCTTCCTACACGCAGGAGGATATTGCTAACAGGGACAGCTTGTCTTATATTTTTAGAGCCTCATGAGCCTTCCTACACGCAGGAGTATAGTGCTAACAGGGACAACTTGTCTTATATTTTCAGAGTCTAATGAGCCTTCCTACACACAGGAAGATTGTGCTTACAGGGACAATTTATCTTATATTTTCAGAGTCTAATGAGCCTTCATTATTTAGGATAGTGCTAACTGGGACAATTTATCTTTTATTTTTAGAGCCTCATGAGCCTTCATACACACAGGAGGATGATGCTAACAGGGACAACTTGTCTTATATTTTCAGAGTCTAATGAGCCTTCCTACATGCAGGAGTATAGTGCTAACAGGGACAATTTATCTTATATTTTCAGAGTCTAATGAGCCTTTATACACAGTAGGAGTAGGATAGTGCTAACAGGGACAATTTGTCTTATATTTTCGGAGTCTAATTAGCCTTTATACACAGTATGATAGTGCTAACAGGGACAATTTGTCTTATATTTTCAGAGTCTAATGAGTCTTCCTACACGCAGGAGGATAGTGCTAACAGGTACCCCAATACAGAATGACCTGCAAGAGTTCTTCTCAATAGTGGAGTTTACCAACCCAGGAGTTCTAGGTGAAATTTTTTGAGATTTTATTGAAAATTCTCCAATATTTTTATAAAGATTTTACCAACAAATTTTCTATGTCAAACTTTCTATGTCATGTTTATTTTTAGCAATTCCTCAGTTGATTTCTTGATTACGCTTTGAATTTTAGGAAGTGACAAGATTTCATCGTATTTGAATAGATTTTTAGAAAAATATATTCGCAAAAATCTAATTCATAACAGTCTAAGTCTAACATTTACACAGTCATTGAAATTCATAAAACCTTCTTATCTTAATTTTTAATTTCATTGTTCTTATAAAGGGTCCAGTTCTGCATTCAGACGTGTCTATGAAGACCCCATAATAACATCGAAGCAACCAAGAGCAACTTCTGAAGAGAAAGAAATAGGAGGGCAGCGTGCAGCAGAACTAAATCGATTGACAGGAATGTTTGTCCTGAGACGCACGCAAGAAATAAATAATCGCTATTTACCACCAAAAGGTAAAAGCACTTAATACTCAGAAGAAAATTTTGCATCTTGCTATATCCCCATAAGTGCCGGTGACATATTGTTATAGTTTGCAACTCTCTTGTGGATGGTGTTTAGCATTCGGTGGTTTGTCTGTAACAAATGGCAGGTTGTGACATTTTGCATGTTATTGCCTTGTTGAGTGTTGACTAGTGTTTCCATTCAGCATTTAGTGTTAAACTTTGAGAATGTGTAGTCGAGTTGTTGAATACCATAGAGAGCTCTTGTGAAACTAAAATTAGATCTTTTGAATGTTTTTTTTCTGTTTCAGTGGAGCTAGTGATATTTTGTCCTCCAACTGAACTCCAGTTGAACATCTACAGAAAACTTATTGCATCACGTCTCGTGAGGTCATGTTTTTCACGTAACAGTAATGGTAGCCCCCACTTAATGTGTATAGCAGCTATGAAGAAATTGTGTAACCACCCCTGGCTGCTCTTTGAGAAAGCAAAAGAATCTGAGGAGGCATTCAATTTGGACTCTGAGAATGATGAGGTTTGTAATTAGAATATGTGACCCGATATACCCTGATATAACCCTAAAGAGAGTTCACATGCCTTCTCCTGTCATGTTGAAAAATTTAATTATATTCTTATGATAAAAATTAATTGATTGAAAGTAAATTCAAGGAAAATTTGATGAAAAAGGCCTTTAAAATTTCTCTTTTTCTCTCTACCAAAACCTATTTTCTCTTTCCTAACCATGCCCTGATTGCATTTCAGGAATCCCTCTACCAAGACTTATTTTCCCTCTACCCTGACCATTATATGCTCTGATTGCATTTCAGGAATCCCTCTACCAAGACTTATTTTCCCTCTACCCTGACCATTATATGCCCTGATTGCATTTCAAGAATCCCTCTACCAAGACTTATTTTCCCTCTACCTTGACCATTATATGCCCTGATTGCATTTCAGGAATCCCTCTACCAAGACATATTTTCCCTCTACCCTGACCATTATATGCCCTGATTGCATTTCAGGAATCCCTTTACCAAGACTTATTTTCCCTCTACCCTGACCATTATATGCTCTGATTGCATTTCAGGAATCCCTCTACCAAGACTTATTTTCCCTCTACCCTGACCATTATATGCTCTGATTGCATTTCAGGAATCCCTCTACCAAGACATATTTTCCCTCTACCCTGACCATTATATGCTCTGATTGCATTTCAGGAATCCCTCTACCAAGACATATTTTCCCTCTACCCTGACCATTATATGCTCTGATTGCATTTCAGGAATCCCTCTACCAAGACTTATTTTCCCTCTACCCTGACCATTATATGCCCTGATTGCATTTCAAGAATCCCTCTACCAAGACATATTTTCCCTCTATCCTGACCATTATATGCTCTGATTGCATTTCAGGAATCCCTCTACCAAGACTTATTTTCCCTCTACCCTGACCATTATATGCCCTGATTGCATTTCAGGAATCCCTCTACCAAGACATATTTTCCCTCTACCCTGACCATTATATGCCCTGATTGCATTTCAGGAATCCCTCTACCAAGACTTATTTTCCCTCTACCCTGACCATTATATGCTCTGATTGCATTTCAGGAATCCCTCTACTAAGACTTATTTTCCATCTACCTTGACCATTATATGCCCTGATTGCATTTCAGGAATCCCTCTACCAAGACTTATTTTCCCTCTACCCTGACCATTATATGACCTGATTGCATTTCAGGAATCCCTCTACCAAGACATATTTTCCCTCTACCCTGACCATTATATGCTCTGATTGCATTTCAGGAATCCCTCTACCAAGACTTATTTTCCCTCTACCCTGACCATTATATGCTCTGATTGCATTTCAGGAATCCCTCTACCAAGACATATTTTCCCTCTACCCTGACCATTATATGCCCTGATTGCATTTCAGGAATCCCTCTACCAAGACTTATTTTCCCTCTATCCTGACCATTATATGCTCTGATTGCATTTCAGGAATCCCTCTACCAAGACATATTTTCCCTCTACCCTGACCATTATATGCTCTGATTGCATTTCAGGACTCCCTCTACCAAGACATATTTTCCCTCTACCCTGACCATTATATGCTCTGATTGCATTTCAGGAATCCCTCTACCAAGACATATTTTCCCTCTACCCTGACCATTATATGCCCTGATTGCATTTCAGGAATCCCTCTACCAAGACTTATTTTCCCTCTACCTTGACCATTATATGCTCTGATTGCATTTCAGGAATCCCTCTACCAAGACATATTTTCCCTCTACCCTGACCATTATATGCCCTGATTGCATTTCAGGAATCCCTCTACCAAGACTTATTTTTCCTCTACCCTGACCATTATATGCTCTGATTGCATTTTAGGAATCCCTCTACTAAGACTTATTTTCCCTCTACCTTGACCATTATATGCCCTGATTGCATTTCAGGAATCCCTCTACCAAGACTTATTTTCCCTCTACCCTGACCATTATATGCCCTGATTGCATTTCAGGAATCCCTCTACCAAGACTTATTTTCCCTCTACCTTGACCATTATATGCCCTGATTGCATTTCAGGAATCCCTCTACCAAGACATATTTTCCCTCTACCCTGACCATTATATGTCCTGATTTCATTTCAGGAATCCCTCTACCAAGACTTATTTTCCCTCAACCCTGACCATTATATGCTCTGATTGCATTTCAGGAATCCCTCTACCAAGACTTATTTTCCCTCTACCCTGACCATTATATGCTCTGATTGCATTTCAGGAATCCCTCTACCAAGACTTATTTTCCCTCTACCTTGACCATTATATGCTATGATTGCATTTCAGGAATCCCTCTACCAAGACTTATTTTCCCTCAACCCTGACCATTATATGCTCTGATTGCATTTCAGGAATCCCTCTACCAAGACTTATTTTCCCTCTACCCTGACCATTATATGCTCTGATTGCATTTCAGGAATCCCTCTACCAAGACTTATTTTCCCTCTACCTTGACCATTATATGCTATGATTGCATTTCAGGACTCCCTCTACCAAGACTTATTTTCCCTCTACCCTGACCATTATATGCTCTGATTGCATTTCAGGAATCCCTCTACCAAGACTTATTTTCCCTCTACCCTGACCATTATATGCCCTGATTGCATTTCAAGAATCCCTCTACCAAGACTTATTTTCCCTCTACCTTGACCATTATATGCCCTGATTGCATTTCAGGAATCCCTCTACCAAGACATATTTTCCCTCTACCCTGACCATTATATGCCCTGATTGCATTTCAGGAATCCCTCTACCAAGACTTATTTTCCCTCTACCCTGACCATTATATGCTCTGATTGCATTTCAGGAATCCCTCTACCAAGACTTATTTTCCCTCTACCCTAACCATTATATGCCCTTATTGCATTTCAGGAATCCCTCTACCAAGACTTATTTTCCCTCTACCTTGACCATTATATGCCCTGATTGCATTTCAGGAATCCCTCTACCAAGACATATTTTCCCTCTACCCTGACCATTATATGCCCTGATTGCATTTCAGGAATCCCTCTACCAAGACTTATTTTCCCTCTACCTTGACCATTATATGCTCTGATTGCATTTCAGGACTCCCTCTACCAAGACATATTTTCCCTCTACCCTGACCATTATATGCTCTGATTGCATTTCAGGAATCCCTCTACCAAGACTTATTTTCCCTCTACCCTGACCATTATATGCTCTGATTGCATTTCAGGAATCCCTCTACCAAGACTTATTTTCCCTCTACCCTGACCATTATATGCTCTGATTGCATTTCAGGAATCCCTCTACCAAGACATATTTTCACTCTACCCTGACCAATTTGAAGAGCTGATCCTGCACCCAGCAGCATCGGGGAAATTAACTGTTCTTCAGGGCATCTTGCAAGAACTCTCAGCATCTAAAGAACGTGTTGTTTTGGTCTCAAATTACACCCAGGTATGGTCTAGTTACACTATGATAATGACATATTGCATGCATATCTGGTCTAATTTTACATATATTAGCCTTATTTTGTTCATGTCAGGCTAGTTATTTATTTTAAATTATGTTATCAACACACGGTATATCATTAATAGTCTAATTACACTAAGATACAATGACTTCTAACCTTCAGTGATTGTCTAATTATGCAAAGTATGAATGTATTGTCATTTAAATGAATGTAGTATACATTTTATTTTAGTTTGGGTGTTAAATGCATTTTATAGGGATTGTATTTTATTGTAGATATAAACATTCAAAAATGCATTCATTTTTTAAATCTATTCAATGATTTTGCTTTATCTCATTTGTAGACATTGAACATTCTGGAGCACATGTGTCAGAGGTCTAACTATACTTATGTGAGGCTGGATGGACAGACACCAACAGCTAAAAGACAACAACTTGTGGAAAATTTCAATAGCAAATATTCTGATACATGTGAGTACTGAATAGAGGAGTGAATCATAAATACGATCTAAATCTTGAATTTCCTCTGATTGATTTGATGTGAGTCTTAATTAACTGCACATACAGTACTAAAACCATACAGTAATGACAGTGAAAAACCTCTGTAAATCAAAAACCTGATTCTGACTGAATGCGAAAAACATCTGTTAATCAAAAACCTAATTCTGACTGAATGTGAAAAACCTCTGTAAATCAAAAACCTGATTCTGACTGAATGCGAAAAACATCTGTTAATCAAAAACCTAATTCTAACTGAATGCGAAAAACCTCTGTAAATCAAAAACCTGATTCTGACTGAATGCGAAAAACATCTGTGAATCAAAAACCTGATTCTGACTGAATGTGAAAAACCTCTGTTTATCAAAAACCTAATTCTGACTGAATGCGAATGGAACCTTTATAAGAGAAAGATTTATTGAGGAAGACTGGTCCACTTACACAGGTTTTACTGTGTATATGACTCAATGTTTTCAGATATTGTGAACATTTTTTCCTCGTTCTTTACAATTTCCTAAAAATTAAATTTTTGAAGCCAATGGTTAATTTGCACCTTTTTAAATGCATTAAAATAGTTGAGTTGAGTTTCAACATTAAAAAATACTGAATTCAATTTCCTTTTTTAAACTACCTAGAATGCCTATGGCGATTGGTAGTAGATATTTTGTGTATTTTTTTTTTGATTATGAAGGAAATAAATCATATGTTAAAAAAAAAATTTCCTTTTCAGTTATTTTCCTACTGAGTTCAAAAGCAGGAGGTGTCGGCTTGAATCTGATTGGTGCATCAAGGCTGGTGCTCTACGATATCGATTGGAACCCAGCCAATGATCTCCAAGCAATGGCACGAGTTTGGAGGGATGGGCAGCGAAAGAAAGTTTACATCTATAGATTGTTTACTACAGTAAGTCACTATATCACATTACCCTACCCCCATACTATAGCCTGTATTTCTTTAAAAAGGGATACAGGCTACAGTGAAGTTACCAATGGAGCAGGTATTCTCTATCTTTGTCTATATAGCTTTTCTGGTAACAATATAAGTCAAAATGCTCGATGAATCTATACAATGTATAGTTTTTGTATAGATATAAAATCTAGTATACCTTCAGAAATATGAAAATAAACAAAAATCCTCCATTTAACTTCACTGTAACCTGTATCACTTTTAAAGAAATACAGGCTACAATATGGGGGTAGGGTAGTGTCTATAATAGACCTTCCAATAATTTCTGATCTTTTTTGGTGAAGAGAAAAGAGGGTGTTTTGACTAGACTGATGATGCCATACTTTGCAGGGAGCAGTGTATTTAAACACATTTGTAAGAGATTTTTAGCAATCTATCAATTCTTTGAAATTGTAAGAATGGCATGAGTTACTGGATTGCTTTATTAATATTGAACCATTTATTAAGCCTTTAGATCTGAGTATAAATAGTACTTGTTTAAGTACGTCACCACCACAGGTGATGACATATTTTTATAGTCTCCAACTTTTTTGTGGATGGTGTTTGGTGGTCAGCATCATCTGTAACAAATGGCAGGTGGTGACATTTTGCATGTTTAGGTGTTGTCTCTGTTTCTATTTTGGCATAAATGGGACATTTTGTTTAAATAATCCATGATTTTTTTTGACAGGGAACAATTGAAGAGAAAGTCTACCAAAGACAAATAAGCAAACAAGGACTCAGTGGAGCTGTTATGGACTCTAAAACTACAATACAAAATGTCAAATTTTCTCTGGAGGATCTCAAGGTTTGGTTTTTTACGACTTATGAGACAACCCTCGTATGCCATTTGATGCCTCTTTTTCTGCATTTTGATTAACAAGGTCTTAGTTGCTCCAACTTCACCTTGATAGTCTAAGGATGAATCCACATTTACTGAATAAACAAAACAAAATGCAAATAGTGTTTTCAAGGAAGATATATCATGTCTCAAAACGTTGTTATGATTATTTAAGATAAGCATTTCTTCAAGGAATCTTTCAGTAGAAACCCCATTAAGTCAAAGATGCTTTTTCAGCCTGTTTTTATAGCCTTGATTTTTTTTCTTAATAGTAATTAAAAGACCAAAGACATGTTAATTGCAAAACATTTTATTCTACCTAGCTAATATAGAGAACTTTTAGATTGCTCAATGATGTAGATAATGCACACTAGTATATGTTATATTAATTTATTTATTTGTTTGCTTTTTTGGATATATCTTGATGGAAATAGATTGTTTTCGAGAAACCAATAAACTTGTAAAGTAGTACATTTAATTTTTAAGCATTTTCTATAAATAAAGGTTTGTTGTTTATATAGATGCCTTATATAAATATATCAATGTGTTTCAGGATTTATTCACGTTGAGAGATGAAACAGACTGTAGTACGCACGATTTGTTGAACTGTAAATGCCAGACCTCATTTTGCATTATATTAAATATATATCAATGTGTTTCAGGATTTGTTCACGTTGAGAGATGAAACAGACTGTTATACGCACGATTTGTTGAACTGTAAATGCCAGACCTCATTTTGCATTATATTAAATATATATCAATGTGTTTCAGGATTTATTCACATTGAGAGATGAGACAGACTGTGATACGCACGATTTGTTGAACTGTAAATGCCAGACCTCATTTTGCATTATATTAAATATATATCAATGTGTTTCAGGATTTGTTCACGTTGAGAGATAAAACAGACTGTTATACGCACGATTTGTTGAACTGTAAATGCAAGACCTCATTTTGCATTATATTAAATATATATCAATGTGTTTCAGGATTTGTTCACGTTGAGAGATGAAACAGACTGTGATACGCACGATTTGTTGAACTGTAAATGCCAGACATCATTTTGCATTATATTAAATATATATCTATGTGTTTCAGGATTTATTCACATTGAGAGATGAAACAGACTGTTATACGCACGATTTGTTGAACTGTAAATGCCAGACATCATTTTGCATTATATTAAATATATATCAATGTGTTTCAGGATTTGTTCACATTGAGAGATGAAACAGACTGTTATACGCACGATTTGTTGAACTGTAAATGCGAGACCTCATTTTGCATTATATTAAATATATATCAATGTGTTTCAGGATTTGTTCACATTGAGAGATGAAACAGACTGTGATACGCACGATTTGTTGAACTGTAAATGCCATACCTCATTTTGCATTATATTAAATATATATCAATGTGTTTCAGGATTTGTTCACATTGAGAGATGAAACAGACTGTGATACGCACGATTTGTTGAACTGTAAATGCGAGACCTCATCAAACATAGAATCCTCAACAGGTCAGGAGAACAACACCAGAAGATGTCAACTTGGAGCAACCAAAAATACAAAACAAAAGGTACCTTAACCAAACAAAAATAACAGACAAAGAACTATAACCAAGCAAAATGCAAGACAGAGGGTACTATAACCAAGCAAAATGCAAGACAGGGGGTACTATAACCAAGCAAAATGCGAGACAGAGGGTAATATGACCTAGCAAAATGCAAGACAGAGGGTACTATAACCAAGCAAAATGCAAGACAGAGGGTACTATAACCAAGCAAAATGCAAGACAGGGTACTATAACCAAGCAAAATGCAAGACAGAGGGTACTATAACCAAGCAAAATACAACTTAAAGGTATCATAACCAAACAAAAATACAACATTAAGGTGCCATGGCCAAGCAAAATACAACACTGAAAGTACAACAATAGTACCACTTAAGGTACATTATTACAACATAATGATAGGTACCTTAACCAAACAAGATTATAACAACACAAAAGGTATCAAAATAAAATAAAATTTAACAAAAATATACCATAACTAAATAAAAATACTACACAAAAGTACTGTAACCAAGCAAAATACACTTAATGTACCAAAATCACATAAAAATATTACAACATGAAAGGTACCAAACAAAAATCTATTATTACCACCTTGCTGGGCCAGTTCTAGGGGTTTTAGTGCTAGTTGAGAAGGCATTCATTTTACTGTATCGACCTGAGAAATATGTGACGTCATAGTGGTGGTCCATATGGACCAGTCTAGAACATATTCTGGACCGGCAATTTTCCCCGGGAAATTAGATATCGTTCAATGCGCAAGATTTTCTTGCTGTTTCAGTCCTGGTCGTTAACGGTGGTAATAATACTAATAAAGTCATTTTTGCTAGCAATATAGTGAAATATTGGACCTTAGGCCTTCAGCCCTCGGTCCAATATTTCACTATATTGCCCTTAGAAATGACGTTATTGTACTATTATCTGCATGTATACTTTTTGCTCAGTCCACTCATTTCCTATAATGCTGTTTAAGTTTTAAAATGTTGGTTTTTGAGAAATGAAACTTTTTGAAAATATGCTTTTTAACTGAAACTTAAATCGCAGCCAAACAGCATTACATCATTTATCCATGTTACTTTCAGTGTTTTCAGTAGTCTTGTCCAAAATTGCGTCCCTTGGACGTAATGATTTTCAAAAAATGCGTCTCCCTTCAAAAAACTGCGTCCCTTGAAAAAATGTTCCCGGGAATTCAAAAGTCACGTTTTTACACTGGATGAAATAAATTGATGAAATTTTGTACCACTGCTTTTGCTATTTATCGGTCTGAATCAGCGTTCTTGCAAGTCTAGTATGTCATTGAATGATACAGATACCATCATAACTTATATTCTCCCATTTAAAACACCTTTTCCTTGCGAATTTCGAAACAATTTGCTATTGATTTTGCTTTAGCATGTTTAGTTTAGGGGCAATCTGCGCGAGGTTCAACTTTTTAGTTCAGTTTCTTGCGCATATGCAGTCTCAAATAATGATCACGTGATCACACTTGCCCAATTGAAAATGGTTTGAATCAGGTCTTAAGCTACCGGCCAATCGTAGGACTCATACTGATTACTGCTCGGAAATCGAGTATTGTATAAATTTTTGTCCTATCACATGCCTCGTACTATTTCGATCAGAAATCAACTTCCGGGAAGGAAATTTCGAAAGAAAATTTTATTTCTTTTAGAAATAGAATTTTCTTCAATTATTTATTGGATTCTGACGAAATAAAGAGACTGAAGGTAAGATCTTTATCAAATCATTCATCCAAAGTTGATTGTATGAGTATGGCTTGCACTGCGTCCACAAAACGCAATCACTTTTTATTTCCGGGTCCATGGATTTTTCATTACGTTTTTGCAATACTTGGACGGCGTTATTGAAATAGCAGTACTTTGAATAAATGTAGCAGCACCAGACTCCATGTGTGCTGGACATTTAAACAGGCTACATGCACAAATTGGCTGGGCTATTGGCCATATTGATTAATAGCTTATCTGCCATGAAAATTACAAGTCTTTAGAGATACATGTACAGTACATACTTTATGATTCAAATGTTAAAAAATCTCAGAGGTGTCACAATTCAAATATAGATTTTTTAATTCAAAAAAACATCAAAGAAAGAATATGTCTACTTGTTTGTTGTAACAATATAGATTCTATAAATTTCTATTAAATCGAGATTATAAATGTCACATCAAACGTAATCCTGTTTTTTATTTCAATGCTTATGCTTTTTTCACTTCAATTCTTATCATTATAAAATTTCAGAATTCTGTAACATCTAGAATATACCTGGCACAGTAAATACTTTCTTAGTGAGCATATCTTTTTAGTGAACACCTGTGTCTACTGGTCTAGTGAGCATGTCTTTTAAATGTTTTTTAAATGTTAAGGTTCAAATTGTATTATATTCAAATTATATCACGGTTAAACTAGATATCTGCTTTAAATGGGCTTATTAGCCTTTTGTGGATTATTGATGTAGATGTCTTCAGTATAAAATTATATGTCTGTATCTAATAATGAACATTCTTTTTTGTTGCTCCATCTGTGTTCTATGTAAACAGGTTTTACTGTACAAGTCTTTGGTGATTTCTTTTTTGCCATTCATTTTTAAAACACTGGTCATTTTCAATCAATTTATAGTGTTAACTTCAGGACATGCTTTTTCATTGGCGATTTCAAAACTTAACCCAATTATTTTATTTAGTTTTTTCTCTTTTTTTGCAGAAAAATCTGTCAATGGATGAACTGATGTCTTGGCAGCATATCCCAAGAAACAATTTAGAATCATTAAATCAGGTAATAAATTGTTTCCAAGTGAGTTTCATTTTAGACTTATCTTAAGTCTGGAGTGCTATAATTTGTAATGGACCTTTTCTATAAATCCTGAACTTTTTTGATAAGAAATGGAACCCAGAGTGACGAGATAATCTGTCGCAAAATATTTCACCAAAATTGCTCTTATTTGAACAATTTTTATCTAATTTACACAAAAATTGTTTTAAAATGTCTAGAAATGATCTCTGCCGTCTAATTTTACTCAATTGAACATCGTCCGTTGTATATGTATGTAGTAAAATGTCAAAAGCTGGCAAAAATGAAAAATCTGGTTTCAACCTATTTTAGAACCTGGGATTCAAGAGGTTAAGGATCTGTAACATAATATTGTGTTATGTTATGCTTTTGAAATTGCAACCATGGGGTGCTATTTTGTTGTATTAAAATACCTAGTTTGATTGTGCGTGACAATTCAGCAATTGCAATAAGAGTCAATTTTATATCAAGATTGTTCATTTTATTCCTTGGAATAACAGTTGATCTCTTTATGATCTAAAATTGACAACCTGAAATCCATGTTATTATTTGTATATTGTTATCTCGTATTGTCATTTCAGGATTATCACCTTGGCAACTCTGAAGCTGGTATATCATATGTATTCTGGCAAGAAAGCAACAAAGGAAGTGAATAGAAAAGTTTAAGCTTATATATTCTGGCAAGAAAGCAACAAAGGAAGTGAATAGAACAGTTTAAGCTTATATATATTCTGGCAAGAAAGCAACAAAGGAAGTAAATAGAACAGTTTAAGCTTATATATTCTGGCAAGAAAGCAACAAAGGAAGTGAATAGAACAGTTTAAGCTTATATATTCTGGCAAGAAAGCAACAAAGAAAGTGAATAAAACACTTTAAGCTTATATATTTTGGCACTAAGAAACAAAGAAAGTAAATAGAACAGTTTAAGCTTATATGTTCTGGCAAGAAAGCAACAAAGGAAGTAAATAGAACACTTTAAGCTTATATATTCTGGCAAGAAAGCAACAAAGGAAGTGAATAGAACAGTTTAAGCTTATATATTCTGGCAAGAAAGCAACAAAGGAAGTGAATAGAACAGTTTGAGCTTATATATTCTGGCAAGAAAGCAACAAAGAAAGTAAATAGAACAGTTTAAGCTTATATGTTCTGGCAAGAAAGCAACAAAGGGAGTGAATAGAACAGTTTAAGCTTATATATTCTGGCAAGAAAGCAACAAAGGAAGTGAATAGAACAGTTTAAGCTTAATATATTTTGGCAAGAAAGCAACAAAGGAAGTGAATAAAACAGTTTAAGCTTATATATTCTGGCAAGAAAGCAACAAAGGAAGTGAATAGAACAGTTTAAGCTTATATATTCTGGCAAGAAAGCAACAAAGGAAGTGAATAGAACAGTTTAAGCTTAATATATTCTGGCAAGAAAGCAACAAAGGAAGTGAATAGAACAGTTTAAGCTTATACATTTTAGCACGAAAGCAACAAAGAAAGTGATGAGAACAGTTGAAGCTTAATATATTCTGGCAACAAAGCAACAAAGAATTTAGTGACTAATACTGTTCAAACTTACAGTATGTATTTGTAAGTGAGAGACAGCCATGGCTATGTCAAAAATATATGTTATCACATTTATTATGAGGTGCGCCCGATAATTTTGAAGTAATTTTTTAGACTATCATTGAAAATGTGATTTCTCTCGATAAAGTTTTACATGCAAAATATACCTCTGTTTGTTTTCTTTTACACCTGAGAAGGTTTCATAAAAATTTTGAAGTTGTTCCAAAAAATTACACTTTTGCATTTTTGGGTCACCTTGTATTATAAAAAATATGAATTACCCGTAATTGAATAAATCTTAGTTGATTTGGGAATGCAGTAATGACATATTTTAAAATCATGTTCTTGTTATAATATCATTGTCCATCGTTGTCCACTGTTTCCAAAAGTGGTGACATATTGTATTTGCATAGTCACCATCATATAGTCTCCTATTTTTGTGAACGCCGTGGTAGGTGGTAACATTTGGCATATTGGTGTCACTGTCTAGTACATGTATTATTATTGCCATTGCCATACATGTACATAAATAGTTTCATGACATATAAGAAGATTCAAGTTTCATGACGTACAAGAATGGGAATCAAATCATCATTGACAGATTAAGAGTAGTTGTATTAAGTAATATTTGAAGATATCATATTGTGAACATTATTACTAGAATGGATAATTAGAACATTCTAACATTTTAGAATATAATAGACTTTTATTACTATAATTGCCATGACAACACATAACTCATGTATTAGTCTAGATGAAAACAAAGGATTTATCACTGAACCTTGTTTTGGAGTATATACAATGTTTTATTGCATTTTTTGATAGTTAGGCATGTCTTGGTCAAAAAGCCACAAATATGCAGTTGTGGTAGGTTGAGCGTTTTTTTCTATTGTCTTTTTAAAATTATGTAATATTTCTGAAAGGGGGCGTGGCACATTTGGTAGTATTCATGTATTTAAATGGAGTTAAATATCCCTTATCAGTTATTTTTGTTTAATTTATGGCTTGCAATATACATATCTACCTGTGAACATTCTCTCTCTGAAAAAATACAGTAATTATCCAAATTAAGTCATTAAATCAACACTACCGGAACAATGTAAACTAAGTGCAGTAACGATTGTCTGATTTTTATAACAGGTTCACCTTTGGTAGAGCAGAGATTTGGTATCATTGTAAGGTTATAAATGTGTCACAAGTGGAGTTAAATTCACTTGAATAACATAACCCTAAATTAGAGTAGAATAAATACGATCTCAATTATGAGTATAGGGGTAAAAGAAGTGTATTACAACTGTGTTTTTATTAGGCATATTAATTAGCTTACTAATTAACATATCAATTTTAATTCCTTTTTTATTTACATTTACTCGATCGGCTACTGGATTAACCTACTATTTTATGGGCAACTCATTTAAATATGAATAGTACCTGCTACTATTCCATTCATATTTAAATGAATTGGTCATAAAATAGTAGGTTAATCCGGTAGTCGCTAGTTGAAAGTTGCATTTGCAAATGCAAGCTTATATTTTACATTTACTTCAAAAGGTAGTATTATTAATCTATTGTCACCTGCTATAACTGAACCTAAACATATACAAGTACAAGTATTTCATAACTTCAAAATATTTCCAAAACAATAACCTTTAACATTTTATAGCAGATAGAGTTGGAATTACACATTCAGTATTAAAACAACTTTGCTTATAAAATCTTATATTTTACTTTATTCAACTAAAATTATTCAATGTTCCTTCATTTCTTTTTTTATTGTAATATGTAATCCAGTTCATTCTGACACTTACTAATCTTATTTTATTTAAGATTTAAAATTTAAAAATATACTTCAATATATAATATATTGATTCCAAAAGATACCCGTTTCGTCATTGTGAATTCGTTTCTTTTCAGAAAGAAAACTTTCATTCAGACTTGAATTAAATGGCCAATTAGTATTACTGTAATATTCTGAAGAAATAATTTTGCTCCTAGACACCCTGCTCTTGTTATAGATATGAACAGGACTAATACGCTACATATAAACACCGTAAATGGTTGAATTCTATCTATTCATTTATTTGCGATAACCTGTGTGGCATTTTGTCTTGTTAATGTTGCAAGATTATCTTTTAATGTAAAGTTGGCATTAATTTTTGTCACTAGTTTGTCCATATGTGCCAAAACTCATTGATCATAAAAGAGAATACCGTTTCTACTTTTTTCATTTATTAAATTGTTAAGTAATCTATTTCATTCTGACACTAATCCTATTTTATTTAAGATTTAAATTCTAAAAATACACTTCATTATAAAATACTGATTCTAAAAGATACAGCATTGCTTCATTGCGAATTAGTAACTTTTCAGAAAAAACTATTATCAAGAATCGAATTAAATGGGCAAATACTATGTTTTAATATACTGATGAAACGATTTTGCTCCTAGACATTCCGCCCTTGTTTTAGATTTGAATGGGACTCCTATGCTACATGAACACAGTAAATGGTTAAATCCATTCTGATACTCATCACATATTTCTGCCTTCAACGAGAAATATGAAGGCCATGATTTATCATGATGGGCTAAATCTTACCTAATTTAATTTATGAACTTTTGAGAATTTTTGACAGGGGGTTCGCATGTATCACAACATGCCCATATATGGGACAGAATATCGGTGTTGCACTCTGGGAGCCAATCCTCCTTGACCATTTAGCGCATACTGGTAGGATTCATGCATTCAGTTTCTAGTGCCTTCATTTCTGCTTGCCTGACAGATGCCATATCCCACAAACTCCCCCCCCCCACTTATCATCCTCCTCAGCAGCTGTACAGAATCCATACTTCCTTCTTCCCCCTGCTATAACCAATTTGGGAGCGCCCGATTAAACTGAATCACGTGATCTAATTATGCGCAATGACTTATACATGATTTCTGTTGCAACAGCCAATCAGACTGCGAGTTCTTAAGCTAACTGCTTATCGCAGGGGGTAAAAAGAAAGAATATATTCTGGATTTTGAAGCCCTGTGATCGGAGGATGCCACTTATAGAATCTTTATCAGAAAAGCTCGGATGTTCAAACTTTCCCCAAATATACTTCATTCATTTATCTACTTTTACTTCTATGGTGTAATAACTTTTACAACTATTATGATTTAAAGGCCCGGTCACACCGCCTAAACGTTGCTGGAGCGTTCCTTGAACGTTGAAAAAATCATCAACGCTCGTAAACGTTCACCACCGTTTAACAAAAGTTGGCATCCGTTAAAGCAACGCTGTAAACGCTCGGCCAACGCGGATGTTTCTCGAGTGGCCATCCTAACGCTCCAAAAGTTTTGAGCTGCTCAAAATATTGCGAGCGTTGAAAAAGGGACAATTTTACGCCCTGGCAAAGTTTATCACCGCTCCACCAACGCCCAGTCAAAGTTTGGCACCGCTAGACGCAAATTCGTGGACGCTTGAATCCGCTAGACCAACGCAGAAATCTTAAACGCTGGACCACCGCTGCTTCGCCAGCTTTGCCCGGGCGGCGATTAAACGTTGCACAAACGTCGGTGGAGCGGTTGTTAGCGTTTTATCAGCGTACATGGGGTTGTTGGAACGGTGTCGGACGTTGTCGCAGCGTTCCATGGTGGCGATGAACTTTGTTTTGGCGTTGGTATAGAGGTGTCGGAGCGGGACCAGAATTTGGCTATAAATACGTGGAGAAATGCACCACTGTGTAGAACACTGTGGAGACACTTGTGCATTTTACATTTGATATATATTCATGTCTGGCATTTCAATTTTTGCATTGTAAATTCCTAAATTAAGCGCTCAAAGTTTGTGATTTTGGATTTTAGAAAGGTGAATTATGCGATTTTTGTTTTTCATTAAATGTTAATACAAATAGACTTTTACTGAGACCTTTATTCAAATATAGTATATACCTAGTGTTTTCACGTCAAGCAATTTAATAAATTATCTGTGAATTTTCTGCGCAGCTTGTAAAATGTTGCACTCGTCATGGTATTATACAAAAAGTTGATGCGCGCACAGCAATGCAAAAATTTGTCATGCGTCATGATTATTACTTTGCTGTAAATGTTATTTGACATTGTTAAAGCAATTTGAACGTAAATCGGTTCCAAGTAATGGAAATGCAACGATTAAATTGTGATATGTTTGTTTGAAATGATATGAGAGATT